TTTTTTTTACCCCAGCGGTGGACATGACTGTTGAGAGATGCGTGCTGTTGAAATAGATGAACCTGTGTATTTATGTGCATCCCTAACCCCCGACAGGCTGTTACATGCACTATTCTGAGCCTTGCCCTTTTTCTTCTGTGGCTCCTACCTCTTTACTAACACATCACGGCTTTTTGTCCTTGTCCACATGGTTAAGTTTCTACCATCTCCTAAGGCCTGGCTCAGATGTTGCCTTGTAGGGAAAGTCTTTTTTGGTCTTCGCTTTTTTCCTGTTAACTTCTCTGTAGCATTTTTAAAAAGACCTCTATGAGGGGGAATTTGTCACATTATTTACAGTGATTCTTTATGTGTCTGATCCCCTCAGGGGATTGTGATCTTTATGAAGAACTACGTTTTATCCATATTTATTTTCATAGTAGCTAGGTGCAGCGGTAGTAATTTTCGATTTAGTGAATATCGGAAAACTTAATCCATCTCATTTTTCCAGGGGAAAGCTGATCTTTATATTCTTAATCTGACCTTCATTCATTTACATGACTTATTACTTGCTATTCCAAGTGGAATTTTAGGTGTCCATAAGGTAGGGGAGAATTATTTTGATGACTGTAGATAACTTTCTTCAAAAAATGTTTTATAGACTTCCATCTAAAACCTCATAAGAGAACTGGGGAGCAGGTTTGTTTTTCAGGCAGCATACTATTTTATTTAAAGAGCTTAAAATGTGTTTAGGAAAAATGTTTTTTAATTTGCTGACTTATGGTATTAATGTGATCTGTCTTTATATTAAAATATAGTTTATAATAAAAGTAATATATGCTTATTAATGACCATGGAGGAAAAAATACATTAAGTGTAAGAAAATAAAATCTGTAGTTCCTCCTCTCAGAGGTTAAAATGTTTGTTAGCATTATGGTGCATGTCATTCTTGTCTTTTTTTTTTTTTTTTTTAAGATTTTACTTTTAAGTAATCTCTACTCCCAACCTGGGGCTCAAACTTAACAACCCCGAGAGCAGGAGTCACATGCAACTGAGCATATTCTTGTCTTTTTTCTTTTTGTGGGTTTTTTTGTTTGTTTTCCATGGTAGTTGATAATTTATTGTTTTATTGTTTGGTATTGAAGTAACTTTAGTCTTCATATGGCATAGTTCTGGAGAAATGTATCATTTAAGGGCACCTGGGTGGCTCAGATGGTTAAGCGTCTGCCTTCGGCTCAGGTCATAATCCCAGGGTCCTGGGATCGAGCCCTGCGTTGGGCTCCCTGCTTGTCAGGGAGCCTGCTTCTCCCTCTCCCTCTGCTGTTCCCCCTGCTTGAGCTCTTTGGTCTTTCAAATAAATAAATAAAATCTTTAAAAAAAAAAGAAAGAAATGTATCATTTAAGACCTCTGTAGATCACATCTAGAGGGTTTATGTTGTGTTACCATAGCAAATCAGAAATACTTCCAAAATATTACCTGCTTTCTTTTTGAGGCCACTAAATTTTGCCTGTTTTTTTTTTTTTTTTTTTTTTAAGATTTTATTTATTTGACAGAGAGACAGTGAGAGAGAGAAAACAAGCAGGGGGATTGGGAGAGTTGGAGAAGCAGGCTTCCCGCTGAGCGGGGAACCCAATGCGGGGCTTGATCCCAGGACCCTGGGATCATGACCTGAGCCGAAGGCAGACGTTTAACGACTGAGCCACCCAGGTGCCCCTAAATTTTGTGTTTTGCTTTGGTTTTATTTCACTCCCACCATGGGATTTGGTGTTTGTGAAATGAGGGCCCCTGGGTGGCTCAGTTGGTTAAGCGACTGCCTTGGGCTCAGGTCATGATCCTGGAGTCCCGGGATCAAGTCCTACATCGGGCTCCCTGCTCAGTGGGGAGTCTGCTTCTCCCTCTGACCCTCTTCCCTCTCGTCCTCTCTGTCTCTCATTCGCTCTCTCTCAAATAAATAAAATCTTTAAAAAAAAAAGAAAAACAAAGCTACTTTGATAGGCACTAGCTAGGCGTCTAGGCTCACTTGTCTGCCAGGTGACCCGCTTTTGTACACAGTCCATGATTCAGATTCCTGCCTAAGGAAGATTGCCAATTGTTAACATGTGATGACCTTTAGGAGTGTTAAAACTGATGAAACAGTAAAATTTTTCAAATGCCAATGATGAGAGCTGGAATGTTTTGTACAATATTTATATACTCTGTAATTGCCGGTAGTAGGTGTGTTGGAAATGTTGTTTTTTTAAAGTTTGATATAATTTAGAATTAATGAATCCTTATACTGAAGAACCTATGTGTTATACTTGGGAAAAAGATGTAGTCAAAAGCGTTTAAAAAAAATAAATATAGGACTGGGTTATATTGAATAGAGGGTATAAATCAAAGACAACTAAAAACCATTGACAGGGAGCCCATGTTTCCCTGCTCCCTGCCCAGGGTCTGGTGATTGGCAGATGGTAAAGCATTAAAAAAAAAAAAAAAAAAAAAAAAA